AGCCATAATGGGGGGGAGCGTGTGTGAGTTTCTTATGTAAGCCTTGTTGACTTGCCGGGGGAAGGGAACCGGACTGTTGCTCCACAGAATGGTAGGAGCCAGAGCCATGAGGTTCTGAATTAAAAAAAAAAAAAAAAAAAAAGATTTTCCTCAATTGCAAGGAACATCAATATGGACGAAGCACAGAAATCCAGATTGCAAAATCACACTGAAGTCCATGTAGTCAAAGCCAGAGCAGATAGCACAATGGAACCGTGTAACCATCCATTTGAGAATGATACAGAAGAATCGTGAGTCAATGTCCAAGCCCAACAGGGCAACACCAACAGCATAACCCAATGTAGCTCTCTCTTGTGAATGGCGCCAGGCGCCCTATCTACTCTACAGCCTGAGCCTACAACTACAGCAATGAAAGCAACCAGACAACTTGACTACCAGCGAGTGATGATGTCAACACCAATGCCGACCTCCACCTCCACCAGGTACGTGTCCTCTTCACCCACACTCTCCCTTGTTACCCACACAGCGCCCTTCACCTCCGAAGCACCTTCGCCCTCACCTCTCCTGCGCCCTATGCAGCCCGGCTATGGACGCCAAGCGCCCAGTGCACAGGCAGCGCCCTACCGCCTAGCGCATGCCTGCCTTGCACCCTGTCTTAGCGCAGCGCAGCAGCTCGCATTAGCGCAGCGTGCCGGCATTGCCCGCAATGGCCAAGATCCTTGCCCACTCGCCTTGCTTGCCTATATGCCAGTGCTGCGTGTGGGCGGCCTCCCTTCAGCCTGCGACTGGGCCGCAGTGGCTGAACCCAGCCCGATACAGTTGAGGCCCGGGGCAATGCAGTTGCGCCTCTTTCATCAAGCCCTGCGGCCAGATTCAGATAGTGGACCGATTTTCCCTTTTACATTTTCGGCCTCTATACCCAGCATGCCTTGTCGGCCTCACGTTCAAGTGCCCAGGGCCTAACTAACTCAGAGGCCATGGGATCTCCACATTTGCAGAGATTTGAGACTCGGTGCACTCCAACCAACTGGCGTGTTGCAACTGTATGGACCCCACTTCGGGAAATGTTTGCACAGAGGGCTCTTGTTGATTTGCTGGCCCGCCTTCACTTAGGGCGGGCACAAGGCTTGCTGGGGCCTTAGCCCAGAACATGTACATCATGGCAAGGCCCTTTCTTGAGGGCTCAATCCTCGCACAATCATGAAGTAGATCATCCTCTATGACCAAGTACTACATCTTCCTCAACTTGAATCCGAAAGTTAAGGGGTAAAAAACTTCAAAAAAGAGAAATCTTCTTCAACGACCAAGCAGGTATTGCAGAAGTGTATCTTCAGCCAGGAGCAACAGCAACTTAACCAGAGAGAATTTAGGTTGTACACAAGCGATACTGTAGAAACCCAAGTCCGCAGTTCTGGCACTCAAGGAGAATCGACAGTCAAAGAACTGAGAGGAACAGGCTAGACGAGGCCGTGCTAAGCAAGCATACAGAGTCCACAATACCGGGAGTTCGTTCAGCACTAAGAAGCAGAGCAAAGTAGATCAGGCTAGCTTAGGCAGGGGTAAGGGGTGGTACATCCTTCCGGCACGAAGTAATCAATGCCGTCCCTTGGGCTTTCCTACGGTAAAGGGGAAGAGCGTATGTGCGTACTTTATGTAACTCTTTTGACATGCCGGTGTACTTTATATAACTCTTTTGACTTGCCGGTGGAATAGGAACCGGACTGATGCTCTCCACAATGGAGAAGGAGCCAGGGCCATAAGGTTCTGTTTTGTGAAAAAAAAAAAAAAAAAAAAAAAAAAAAACCCTGAAAGGCCTTCCAAGATTCAGACCCCAAATTCGAAATACAGGGTCAAGGTTTCAGGCCCAGGGAGGCTAAGTCGGTCAATTTTTTCAGAGAAGGCACAGTTGGGTACCTTAGAGGTCAAATCCAACAGGCACCCGATGAACAGTCACATCCCAGGGGTGAAAGTCACGTCTCATATTGAATTTCACGAGTCATATTGAAAAGTCCCATCCCACAGGCAAAGGACACTTCCGCAGGCGCGAGTCATTTCCCAGAGGGAGGAGTCACAGTCCACAGTCAAAAGTCATATTCACAAGTGAAAAGTTGCGACTCTCAGGCCCAGGCAGCAGCACACCATTGGAAAATTCGGGAAAGTATCAGGCCCTGACATTCGGAAGTAGACAGGCCCTGGCCCCTGGGCATGTGGTACCGGGCCGAGGAGAACCATTTGCAGCAGAGGCTGGGACAGCCGAAATGAAGTTCGAAGCTAGGCTACCAGAGTGGCCCGGGGTCACTTGCCCGGCCGGGCCAAAAAAATAAAAATAAAAAAATTATTTTTTTATTTTAATTTTTATTCTAAATTTGGTGACGAATTTCGATGTGACCCTGAGGCAAAAGTTGTTCCGTTTATTTTTCTGCATAACATAGTTTTTTTTCGGATTTTTTGCTGGGACCTTCCCTGGTCCTTGCACGGGCTGGCCACCCGGGACCCGGGCGGCCTGGTAGCCTAGGTTCGAAGGCAATATAAGGACTGTCCAGCCTCTCATTCGGGGAGATTGCTCATTCGCATGAGAGTGTGGAGGTGCCGGTGCACTTGTGCGCTATTGTGAGGGGCAAAGAGCTGAGCCAGGGTGCTGCGCTAAGTGAGAAAGAGAAGGGAGAGGTAGCGCTGGCAGGGAGAAGGCAGCCATAGCTGCGCCAGTGCAGAGTGTTAGTAGTATTTAGTACTAGTTGGTGGCAGTTAGTAGGCATAGCAGTGGGTGTATCCGGAGTAGATCCTTGAGTAGTAGTAGTAGTGAGGGTGCATGCATGTAGGGAGAGAAGACAGTGAGGACAGAGCTACAGAGAAGACCAGTGAGAGAAGAGGAGATGGAAAGAGAGATTTACCTGAGAGTTGTTGCTGGTTATTGGATACCTTTGTGTGCGCTGATGAGCGCTGGTGACGTGAACTCGTATAATTGCTCTTGTTGAAACTTGTTGGAAGTTATAAGTTGCGCTACCTGGTTTTCTACTCTCTGGTATTCAGTGTCACAGTGTGAATTCGGGTCATCTCACTTGTGTTTTGATGCATGTCTATGTCAACACTCATTGGTGATTAACTGACAGTGTGCGGTTCATAGCAAAACAAACAAAAGGTATTGAAGAAGTGTCCTTGCCCCCACCATGTTCGGCTGAGTCCCACTCCCTACAAAATCAGACAAGCCTCTATTTATTTAGTACCAYCCATCCATCTCTGGTAAAGCACATTGCGAGCAGCCAAGATGAGTCATTGCTATGGGGGCCGCCCACCATAGCCACAAGTTTCTCTCCGGGGAAAAAAGTGGTCATGCGGCTGTGGTGCTCTCCGGGACCTACGCTCAGCAGAGTTTTAGGCTGGGAGGCCTGTTGCTTAACTGAGCTGCTAAGCTGGCTCTGTCTGTGGCCTCCAGGGGCTCTAAGGTCAGTTCTGGTCCTTGGCCTGTCCTAACGGAAGCCTCTTGGCGACAAGCCCGGTCCCAATGGAAGTGCTCGCAAGGGACTGGCACTTCTGTACCTGGCCTTGCGATAGGCATACGTTCAGCCAGACTGAGGGGTAGGTAGTTCCAGCCCTTTGTCCTGTAAATTTCCAGACTTATCCCTGCCGGACTCCGCAGCGATTGCAACCAAGGCCAAGGGTTGACCATGCGAATCCCCCCCCCCCCCAAAAAAAAACAATCTATTTACAATAATACCGTACACCCCACTGAGAGCGTACTCACTCAAGGACTTCGTCAATTGAGCTGCGGACTTAATTGTGGTCAGATACATGCAGATCAGGCTGTAATTCTGGTCAGATACATCTTCGAAAGTCCTACTACCTAGTGTGAGTATGCCCTGAGATCAGCGGCCATGAGCGGGGCACAGACTTAGTCCACTGCAAGACTGCAGGCTCTGAGAAAGAACCAGGTAAAGCCGGCCACAGGTGCCTCCGCTCAGAAAGTTTTTTTTTTTTTTTTTTTTTTTCCCGCTTAGAAAAGCCCCAGGGCAAAAATTCCGACAAAGAAATAGCTGTGATCCTATGCTCCTCCGTCACTACCGTCCTCCCCCGAACACAACGCATCCTCATTTAACTGTATCTGGCCGGAAATACAACTTGTATACATTCATTTTAAGGGTGCGTTATGTTCAGGGGAAGACGGTAGTCACTGCTGTTTCAGAAGTAAGCGCAATTTTACAACATGCACGAGGCGCACCGATGCGGCCATGTCTTGAATTTGCGTGAAGTAGTTAATTTCTTCAGTTAGCAAAAACTATTATTACTACGGTAACCATAGTTACTGTAATTATAATTTCTTCAGTTAGCAAAAACTATAATTATTACGCTGGTAATTGTAGCCGTGAGTTGACCTGGAAATTGTGACACTTGGGAAGTTCACTGAGGCTCCAACCACAGTGCACTGGGTGGAAATTCAATATGGCACAGCTGCACCAGCTACTAAATAGCCTGACCATGACCATGCGAGTAGAGTACAATATCTGACCAGATTTCCCTCCACGTTTCGCAAAATCTATCATTGGCATACGAGGAACAGAACAAACATCTCTCTCTCTCTCTCTCTCTCTCTCTCTCTCTCTCTCTCTCTCTCTCTCTCTCTCTCTCTCTCTCTCTCTCTCTTCTATTCAGGCGGTCTGAATAGGTGTCGTTGGGGCCGCACCACAAGCCCTAATATCCGTATCATCGGCATATGAGGAACAGAACAAACACCTCTCTCTCTCT